CATAAGATTAACTGTGAGGAAAAAAAATATAGTCACGTAATCATTGACGCGTACTGCTTTGAGCGTGCCCTACAATAATAAAATTTTCAGTTAACTGCTGCATTGATCGCTTTGATAATGTTATAAAACAATTAGTTCATGCTGCAGCTGTGCGTATGTCGAGATATTGAGCACTTGGGAAGTTTGGAGAGCACTCAAAAGGCTAGAGTTGCACTCGGCTGCGCCTCGTGCAACTCTTACGCCTCTTTCGTGCTCTCCAAACTTCCCGCGTGCTCAATATCTCGACATATGCACGCTGCCGCATGAACTAATTGTTAATAAATCGCGCGCTCTGATTGGTCAGTTAGCCACTACCATTTGCCCGTGGGTGCACGCCAAGAAACTAAGCTATAGCGCGGTAAAATTTAGGCAAATTCAACAAATCTCCTCTCCTGACGGTAAAATACACCGATGAAATGAACAGATGAAAAGTGGAAGTTGAAGAAAATACCAAGCTGTCGTTTTGAAGAAAAAAAGACAAAAGATCAAGCGACAAATTTGCCCTGGATGAATTAATCACTGTTTTCCCCCCGGCTAGAATCGGCTGAAAGAAAATCGAGCGAGCGAAGATTTAAGGTACATTTTGTGTGTTTTTTATTGAAGAGAAAGTCTGTTTGAAATGTAAATCTATCAAGTAGCATTGTGTTATTGACTTTTAGGTCAAGCTGATGCTAAATTCAAGCAAATATTTTAGGAAACACGCTCAAATTCGAGACAGCTTTGTTGAGAAGTTTTCGTCGCATCGATTAAAAATTTTAGATGAGTTTAAACGGGCACATTACGCTGGAATAAGCGAATTTCATTTGAGTACAGAAACATTTGGGTTTTCAAATAAATTTTTCAAAAAATAACTTCGGTGTGTATTATTTTGTTCCTCAGTGTTCATTCATAACAGTCGTTCAGGGAACGGTCGAAAAACAACAGCTTCTGCGCCGACTGTCGGCGAATTTCAGTTGCAGCTTTGACTTTCATAGCTGGATTTCCCCAGACAGATTTCGATACAAAGCTAGCTAATTTCTTTTTAAAATCAGTGTTACCTGTTATTCTAAAGGAATTACAGTCAAATTTTCTCATTTCTACTTTACGTAAGCTTGATAATTATTTCATATATTTAGTGTTTGCTTATTTTTTAGAGTCTTTTTAGTTGGTGTTTATAGTTGCAGCTATAGTTTTCCCTCAAAGTTTTTACCCGAATATTAAGAGCAAGTAGACAGATGCCATTCAGAATAACAACGAAAAACGTTTTGCAATTTACCTGAAGACGGAGAACGGTTGATTCAGCGAAAGAAAAACTCAAAGGCAAGTTTTCAAAAAACATAGAACATGATTTGTTTACGCGCGCACAGATGGCAGCATACATGAACTCGTGCCGATGACTCAACCGAAGGCAAATGGAAAATAGAGTTTTTCTCTTTTGATTATGTTATAAAAGAAATGGTAAATGTTGCAGCTGTGCAACCATGGAGTTATGGATGCACTTGGGAGGTTTGCTAAACACTCAAGAAGCTAGAGTACGCTTCTTCCGTGCTTAGCAACCTCCCGCGTGCATCCATAACTCCATGGTTGCACGCTGCACATTTACCATTTCTTAATTTCTGAGCAACTTTCGAGCAAAATATAGGTTTAGAGCAAATATCAATTCAAGCACGAAAAAGTCAACGATTTCATAAAAAACTTTAATTTTTTAAAAAAATTGTTTTAATTTTAATTTTTTTTTTCTTGACCGATGTTAGTAATTATTGTAAAGAAAGAAAAATAGCTTTTAATTTGCGTTTATATAAAAATATCAAGATATTTAGGTGACAACTTTTGAAATTTAGGTAGAAACGTTTGGATTTTTAGCAATTTTTTAGCAACTTTTTGGCATTCCAGTGAGCAACTTTCCAGCATTTTACAAGCGCAATCTGGAAAGGCCTTACCCGGAGTGGATTTATTGAGCGTAAAGGGGCGAGCTGGGGCGGATATGGGGAAGGGAGAAAATAGACGTTCCTTTCCTTTCCTTTGTTTAATTTTATTTTCCTTTCGCTTTGCGCTGGTTCACTGCGGTTCGTACTTACTCTAGGTGCATTATCTATCGCATGAGTCTGCGCGTTGCATGTCTGTTCTTCTACGGAAGTACAGTCGACTCCCTATAACTGGAACCTTCTAGCGAAATCAAAAAAAGTTTCAGTTATCGGGAGTTCGAAGCAAATAGATAGATAGATAGATAGCTTTATTAAAAATCCATTGCAGCCCAAGGGCTGGATTACGGAATGTACAATACGTTGAATACTAAGACTAACTATTATAAATAAATAACAGTAAATAAATAAAACAAAAGAACAAAGATACTGCGTCATGAAATTTAAGAAAATAGCCGCGAATTTACAATAAAACCATTAGAAAACAGCCGCGTTATGCATGATAAAACTATTCATTAGTCTATTTGTTCTACAAAGAGGCACGTTAAAAGCGCGCTTTCTCCTTAAGGCTACAGTACTAAGATTACGTGGCGGCAAAATGCCATGTAATTTGTGGAGGCTGTTGTCCTTAATCTCATTGAATAGGCGCTCTGTCAGCTATTGACGCCGTTGATGGAAGGTGGCAATATTGCACTCTTTGAGAGCCTCTTGATAGCCTAAATCTGGGAAAATAATTCTAAGTGCACGGCGCTAAATTTTCTCTAGCTCTTCAGAGAGATACTCAGGCAGACCATTGTGGAAAACTTGGCAGGCATATTGAGACATGGACCGGATACACGTGGTATAGAAACAAAGTAGCTGCACAGGATCTTCTTTTGCACGCTTAAGCTGCCTTAATAGATATAGCCTAGAGGCTCCTTTTTTGATAACATTCTCTATGTGAGCGTTCCACTTTAGATTGTTTGAAATTGTGAGACCAAGAAGTTTTGCGCTAGTTACAACCTCAATTGGTTTGTTGTTAATAGTAACTGCTTCGAAAGGATCTACAGACCTTGAGAAACTTATCTGCAACTCTTTACACTTGGTCTCATTCAATTGGAACTTATCTACTTCGGCTTGCCTAACTAGGTCGTTTACAGCAAATTGGATTCCACTTGGTTGGCCCTCGTGGACTGTCTCGGCCATCGATGTGTCATCGATGTACTTCCAAAGGTTGACGCCATTGACATTGATGTCATTTATCATTACCAGGAAGAGCCAGGGCCCCAATTTGGTCCCCTGCGGGACACCTGCCCTGACAGATCCCCAATCCGAGTAACAATCGTGGGCGAGTTTCACTCGTTGCTTCCAGTCAGTAAGAAAATCTGCAATCCAGTCCAGCACCCAAAGTGGTAGCTCATAATCAGTAAGTTTAGCCATAAGAATGGCGTGGTCGATGAGATCGAATGCTTTCCTAAAGTCAAAGAGCACAACGCGCACTGTCAGGACCGTTGCCGTCAGTATTCTTATACCAGTTGTGTACCGGGAATGAGGAGATAAGCAAATGGATGGGGAGGGAACGTAACGATCATGTACACTTTAGTTCAAGGGCAGCAAGAGATATGGATTAACATTTTGTAAAAATAAATTAAGTAACAAAGCTTGATTAATATACTGACATAACACTGATTTTGAACTGGAGCGACACGAAATAATTCTTGCTTTGATTGTTTCTTGTTGTTTTGTTTTTCAATGTGTTTGGGAGTTCAGTACACTGTTTTTTTTTTTGACTTGTCACGTGCTTAAAACATTGTTCGAGTTAATGAGGGTAGAATAAGGGTAAAGTACGTTACAATAAATGTAATATATAGATTTATTCAGGGCTAAAAGCGAAGCTCTGGTTAATAATACGTGTAAACAAAAAAATAAATAAATCTTGTAATGCTAAACGGGGACGACAAAATCAGTGGCTTCAAGACTAATAGATCTAATTAGCAAAAAACAAATTTGCACAAATTTGTCTTTCCCTTCCCTTTGTTTTGCACGACTACGACCTTGTTCTAAAACGTCAAACTTCCTAGTTTCACATTATTTTTTATGGAGGAATTGTCGTATGTGCTTACCCAATATTGTGTTTCCTGTGTTCATGTTCGCTTTTATTTTTCACTGCCGTGTGTGGTGTCATTTTCACCTTGCTGGCCGCTAGCATTCCTTATTTTCTCGCCGCCGCGCTTTGAATTTCCATGTTTCTCCTACGAAATTCGTCTCCTTTGTTTTCAATAACTCGCTTTAGCTCTTTCTCTGTTATCCACGTTAGTGTAAACATAAAAAATGACGCCGAAAAAGACACGACTTTGTCGTTGTTTTTTCTTTTTAAAAGTCCGGACGGCCATGTGATTTCCTTCCAAATAGAACCTTGAGTTGCATTTGGGTTGCCATACCTGTTGATTGAGTTATTTTACATTGGTATGCCTGTGGTGCGGACGGACGGTCGGGCAGGTGGTCGGTGTACGGTCACGTGATTACCAAATTTTCTCGGATGGGTAGATTACCACATTTCCTTAGCTATGGGGCTCCGTGCTTGGAGCTCCGCTACGAAGGAAATCCAGGGGAAATCGACTTTGGTTCTAGTTAGCGCGAGGTTCGAGTTAGCGAGGGTTCGAGCTATCGAGAGTCAACTGTAATGGCGCTCCACAAGACACCTTTATTCAACCTTTATTCAAAAATTTGTAGTCCTGCGAGGGGGTTACTATCACCCAAGACGCGATATTCTCTGTCCAGTTCTAACGGTTAAAGAAAGAACGTTTAAGACTCAAAAAAGGGAAATATTACGGTTTGTTCACAATGTAATTTATTGAGTCAAAACTCTTCTTCCAAACTCGTTAACACGAGTGCAAAAACTTTTGGCTTCAAATTTCAAACTGAATCATGGCTAACACTAAAAAAGGAAAAAAACTTTGAGTGAAATTAGAGAACACTGAGGATTAGGGCCAACAAAAACATGGTGCCAAAGAATGCACACGGCCCCAGTCCTTTCACTCCACTGGTGTCCGTTGTGGTACAGGTCAGCGAACATGAAGTAAGAAAGCCCGTCTTGTTCAGGAGCTTGCACGCTGAAAAAGAAGGATAGGAGTTATTCTGCTGAAATAAAGGAGGTGACTCCTATGTGAGAAGCATGAAGATCCTCCTCGGAAAATTAGAATTTACAGTCAAGAAATACAATAGCCTGCGATCATGCCCTCTCCATTTATCTCTGTAATCTGTTTTTTGCGTCACGAGCAGTGAATACATACGCCAGTTCGTTATGAAATTTCTGCCGGCTCAGTTCTCTTGAATTTGAAGAATGTCTAAATAGAATTTCATCCATTGAACTATTTTCCATGTCATCGTAAACTAAAAAGTTGCAGTCAAAAATTCGCCGATCATTTGAATTTAATTTGATACCGGCTACAAGTTACAGAAGCGACAAACGGGTTCACTTTTCAAATAATCCATTCATGAAGTTAATCTGTCCCGGTTTCAGTGGCGGTTTGACTGTAGTTCCTCCTTTAGAAACCTTCGAATTATTCTGAGCGAACTTCGCTTTCACAACACTTTTCAGTTCGTGAAAAATGGTGCTTCAGCCAAAGTACAAACTGTACCAATACGATATTTGCCCGCTACAGAAAAAGACACAGCAACGGACAAATAACCGTACATTTTAATAAGTACAAAAAGACTGAAAGAGATTTTCGTGTTAGAGCAATACGTAAAATCCCATACCGTCTGAGAAATGCGGCCTGTCGCCCCTTGCATGTTTTACTTCAAACATTTCCTTGCTCGTACACCCCTTTGCATTTTCTTCACAGATATCACTAAGCAAAGCGACAAGGATACCAAGATTTGCCAGCTTATCGGTCTGGTCTTTGATACTATTTACAAGCGACGAAGCCCGACAACAACAACATGGCCAGTAGCTTCAAAAATGGAGTCGAAAACAAACAGTAAAACTTACTGCGCTTTTCACAAACATGCGAACTCTAAAGTTCAAAAGGCGCCTTTACAGTTGCGTTTTTCGCTGCCGTCAATCATAATTACGATCACAAGCAACGAAGCTTGCAACACAGAAACACCCCAAACGGATCGAAATCCACCAATCACAAATCACAATCCATGACCTTTTGAACCCGTTAAAGTAAGGTTTTGTTTTCTAAGAGGTCCGTTAAGATGATTGACGACAGCGAAACGCAGTCGTCAGTTGGCTTTTGAACTTCAGAATCCCCATGTTTGTGAAAAGCACAGTAATAAATAGGCGACCTTGCACATCCAGTTAAAAGATCTAAGAACACATCAATCTTCTGCAAAAATTGGACCATGGCTTTCCTTTGATATGGTTTTAACACCCTAATACCAAACGTTTCGGACATCAGCACAAATTAAACATGAGTTTACCCAAAGTTGGAAAACGGCGTATTTGATTGGTCCGTATCTACGAACGGAAGTGGCTATTCGTTTCAACAGACATTAGTGAGGCTGGAGACTCAGGCAACGACTAACTGATTCATTTTTTAAATGATCGATTAATCAATGGAATCTATACGCTTGACCTTGCCCCTACTTAACAAAGACCAATCTGGGCGTGGTTGTACCAATACAGGAAACCAAATTCCCGAACCAGTTAACGGCTGTAGTAAACTTTAATTGTGAGAAAGATGTTGAAATTATTGCTCTATTCGATACAGCATGATGGCCATTTGGTTTTTCTTTGTGTATTTCTTTAACATTTTTATATAACTACCATAAGCTAGATCTATATGGGCAAAAAATAGCATTTAGGTCCTAAATGCTCACACTAACCGACTGCCAAAATCTCAACTATTCAGTTACACCACAAAGAAACACCCACTATCCCCGACGCGTAATTTACATGGTGGGAGGGGAGGAGAAGGCGGGAAAATTCATTGCGGTTCGTACCGTTGTGGTCGCTGGCTGAGTCACACAGAACGTTGTTGGAACAGTTCTTTAGTTCAATGCTCTGAGTAAAGCCAGGAAACCCCATTTTCCCTTTCAAGCTCATACACTGATCCAATTCATCGGAGCAGTTAACTGTGGGGACTTTGCCACTGTCGCATTTGCCTGCTCCTAATCCGGGGACATTGGTACACATTGGACACTCAATACCAGAGACTGGAAATAAATAAAACCATGGATCATTATTTTTTGGCGGTTGTGAAAGAAGTACGGAGATAAAGAAAGGAAAAAGGAAAAAGATTCGTTGCTTATGTATCTGATGTAAGACGTGTACTTCCTGGTCTTTGGGAAAAGTAGGGACTGGGGTCGTAGTGTTTTTGAAGGTAGCACAACAATGATGTCCATTCATTACAAAGAAATAGATCTTCATCAGTGCGAAAATTTCAGCCAATAAAATTAATGTTAAATATGACCCGGAAATATTTCAATTTCTGGCATATTCATTACGGATTTTTGTATCGAGTAGAACATTCATTTAGGCTAACTAAAATAGCGTTTTGTTGAAGTATAAATTGAGCACAGGATGCTCCGTAACCGTAAATTCTGAGGCAGTGTTCACACTATAACGCCGCGGGTGGCTTTTGCGCTGGAATAAAAACAAAACCAGATAGGGCTTCTCAGGATTCCATATTTTAGGGTTAATCGCAGGTGACCCAGGCCCAGTAGTGTTTTGAGATTGAAAAAGGTGTATATCTCTCGAGTAAATTTTTCCAGGGGGCGGGGGAGATTAACTTTGGGGTTGTGACGTCCAGAAGGCCACCCCAGGGACCCTGGGTGGATTTGATTTTGTACAGTGCCCAACCCAAGCCTCGTTTGCTTGGCCGCGCGTTGATCCATTAAATACATCATGGTAGCGGCCATGTTTGGATTCTCTTCTTCCAGCTTCACAAAGTCTGCTGGATCTCTTTTGCTAGCTGGGAAAGCTTCACTGGTTTCTATATCAGGGGAAGACCTATTTCTATGAGCCTAGCGTGTTTATTTACCGTTGGAGTTCGAATTTTGTGAAAAGAGTCGTGTTGTAAGGGATACGATGGCGGCTGAGATTTCATCTTACGACCTACCTTGTTTATTTTACTGTATGGAGGGAGAATACGAGCATATTTCACGAAACTCCGTGTGAGCATCAAGGACAACAACAATTAACTGTAGCGTAGGTTTCATTGACTTGTACTCACTTTTTCCTACAAATTTAAGGATCGTTTTACCCCAACACAATGTAACACTGTACTTTTACAGTATTCGTACAGTGGAACGAAGCCCAAGTTGTGGGCGGCCGTTACCACCAAAAATACAATCATGTCAAATAGCACAGACAAAACGCAAATGGTCTAGTGATGAATTACGATATGGTTCAAATAATAAAGAAGGATCATTCTTAAAACAAAATAGTCTGGTCGTTTTGTGTGAAATGGTTCACCTAAACTACAGGGGCACCCAACGTCAATTTTCGAAAAACAGCTGTTTGGAAGACGATTTGAGATCTAGAATTCTCGGAACATTTGCTGGAAAATTTCTTGCTTGCCTGCCTCTCCTAGGATTTTCGAACATCTAAAAAAATGGTATAATTGCCCATTGGCCAAACAAGGATCGGTTTTTTTAAATTATAACCCATCAATATATATACCATGTGCGAAATGATCGACCTTGATAACGAATGGTCGGCTGCACTGTTGCGTAATGGTTTGTTAATTCAATTCAATTCTATTCATCTTTATTTCACACTGTATAAGATATTTACACAAGTGTACGTAGGTAGGAAAATAAAGTAGCGGATAAATAATAATTAACTAAAAGACATTAAGGGTGCGTTCCTTTGAGATGATCCGGATCAGGATTAGTGATCCGAGATCACTCGGATCATGGTACATCAAATGAACCGATGAATCCATGTCCAGACTACTACATATAGTGCAAGATTTATTGCAGGTTCAAGCTCATGCACAACGAATAGGCTTTCTAAATTACTTACTGAGTGTCTTAAACTAGTTCGCAGCCACTGCACCGCTTACTACAAGACGATTCGAGAAAGGACAGGTGTTAACTGCTTGTGGATAATCAATAATTCGTTGGACGTTATCTGTGCACTGGAGGAAAAACAGCTTTCCCTAAATTATGTCAGTACTTGGGACATTTCTACTCTTTATACTAGCCTTCCACACGCCCAGCTTAAAAAGCAACTTCATGATCTTTTGGAGAGAGTTCTCAATACTAAAAGAAAAAGCTTCATTGCTACCAATAATTTTCGCACCTCGTTGACGTCTTATCATTCGCCCAGAAGGTACACGTACTTCTCCTGTCGAGAGCTTGGTCTCGCTATTGACGTTCTTATCGATAACATCTACGTTCGTTTTGGAAGCTCGGTTTTCTGGCAGGTTATTGGCGTACCCATGGGCACCAACAGTGCACCTTTGTTGGCTGATCTCTTCCTTCATACCTTTGAGTACGATTTTATGGTCAAAACAATGAAACAAGACATTACAAAAGCCATCCAGTTCAGCAACAACTTTCGATATATCGGCGACTTATTCACTATTAACAATGTGAACTTTAGAAATTGCATCAGCGCGATTTACCCGTTTAACTACCCATTTAACTTAAGGACACATCCGCATCATCTACTGAAGTGTGTTATCGCGACACAAATGTCAAGACTGGCGACGTAACCACACCTTTCCGTATCAGCATCTACGATAAGAGAGATGACTTTGCATTCCAAATTGTCAACTTTCCTCATATGGACAGCAACATTCCCGCCAATCCAGCTTACGGTGTTTACGTATCTCAACTGGTGAGATATGCCAGAATTTGCACTTTGAGTTTGAACTGTGCTTCACACAAGTGGCTGAGAAATCGGTGTACTTCATTAAGACGTAAGGCCATTCGTAACTTTTTCGCAAAGAGATCTGAGGCGGATAACCGAAGAGACGTTTGGAATGTGTATCAGCCGTTTTTACACCCCCAAAAAACTTCAACATCCAAATGATATAATACTAAAGGTACACGACGTGGTAATCAAGGACAAGACAGAGATCGCAAATGTCTTTAATGATTATTTTGTCAGCAATGCGAGGGATTTCAATGAAATCAAAGGTAATTATGCAGAAGATCATTTTTGCCAAGGTACCCATCCAAGTATAATTACCATTCACAAGAACAATACTAAACAGCGTGACAAGGATTGTTTCAGCTTCCAACTTACGAAAACAAAATACAAGTTGAGCAGTTACTATTGAAAATTAAATACAAGAAAGTCATTTGGACACCATTTCCTGTCACCACGGTTTACTAAGGACTCCGCCAAAGAAACATCGGCCACTACTGCAAATATCATAAACGCATCCATTTCTCTATGCAAATGTCCCAGCCGTTGGAAGAAGGGACAAATAACTCTAATTTTTAAAAAGGATGAAGAACTTGTCAAACAGAACAGTAAAGGTATTACCATGTCTGAATACGCTACTGTCATCTCAGCTTGAAGAACTTTACAATGGGCTCCTATCAAACTTGCTATCCCCCTACAGAAAATTCCATAGTCGTGAGACTTCGCTTCTGAGACTCACTGAGGACTGGAGGAGGAGTAGACACAAAGAACTTGTTGGGATTGTTTCATTGGACTTATCGAAAGCGTTTGATTCAATACCGCACGCTCTTCTTCTGGCCAAATTAAAAGCATATGGCCCGAGTAGCAGCGCTTCTACGCTGCTTAAGGACTGTCTCTCAGCAAGATTGCAGAAGGTTAAAATTGGAGATGTAACATCTGAATGGGCAGCGGTTTCAAGAGGAGTAACTCAGGGCAGTGCACTTGGGCCCCTGCTTTTCAATATTTTTATCAATGACTTACTTTATCATGGTACGGAGATAAAGCTTCATGCGTATGCCGATATGACTCCGACACTGACCCTAAATTACTCGACAGAAGGCTCATTCATCAACTTAATATTGCAAGCGAATGGTAAAGAAGCAACGGTATGTTGGTCAATCTCACCAAACACCAGGCCATGATAATAGGAAACACGGATCACGTGTTTTCCTTTCTGGTACAAAAATCAATTGAATCGTTTGGAATAACTGTGGATGACAGACTCTGTTTTGATGAACACGTCTCTAACATATGTGAAAAGATAACTAATCAATTAAATGTCATAAGTAGATTTCGCAAGCTTATACCTGCCACTGTATTATTACGCCTCTACAAAACATTTATATTACCACACTTCCTGTATTGTTCTACCGTATGGCATTTTTGTGACTCCCGAAATAAGGATAAGCTAGAAATGTTGAACAAACGCATTCTTAGGGTCATCATAAATGACAAAGTCTTATCATACGGTGACCTAGTGTCTTCATTTTGAACAGTATCCGAAGTATCGCAAAGAATTGCTTTCTCTGAGATCTGTTGATTGTTCGATAAGAGGTTCTGATATCCTTAGTCTTCCTGAACCTGTTACTACTTTTTATGGCTTAAATTCGTTTAGCATACTGCTGCTAAGTTCTGGAACGCGTTGCCTGACAAACAGAGAACCCTTTACATGGCTTTATTTCAGCAAATCGGCGATGCAAATTTCCCTTTCGTAAACGGTCGTTGCCATTTGAAACGGTCGATGCCATTTCTCAGAACGGTCGTTGCCATTTGAAACGGTCGATGCCATTTCGAAAACTAGCCGAGCAGACGACAGCCCTCGTGAATAGCTCGTACGCGGTTGGCACGCTCGGACGTCACTTCCGGGCAGTGTTGTTTACAAGATGGCGGAGCAATCCACGTGCGCGAGAGTTGAGCCAGCTGAACCAGAACCAACCCATTCTTCTTGTGCAGAAACAAAACAAAAATCAATTAAGAAGCCAAAGGGGTGGAACTCCTTTATGCAGTCGGTTGCGGTGAGTTTGTTTTGTATTTCCCGAAATATTCAATCATTTTCAGCCTGGATAAAGGGGGGAATTTCATATATCCCATGATGCTTCGCGCCAAATTTCTGTCTTCTCTCCGCGGTGGAAAGAGCGTTCGAGGGTTTCGAGGGAGATTTTCAACGACCTGAATTTCAAGATGCAGCTCATCCTAGGTAAGTTTCAATGAGCCCTGTTAATCTTTGGTATCTTATTAATAATGTAAAATGGTTCCATGGTCATTTCACGCATTATTGCTCTCGTGTACGACCCTGTTAAGCCATGCTGTTTTAACTCGCTAGTGAATATTTTTTTAGATGACTTTCAATTTTCGAAAACTGTCTTTATTCTAGCAAGGTTTAGCCCTAATAAATTATTTAAATCGGCGGACAAGGGGTGCTTGATACTAGTTCCACGCTCCGACCTCTTTCGACCTCGCGATTTTCATGGGTTTGATCGTTTTGAAATATCGCATTTTCTGCCTTTCTCCGCTAAGATGCAAGACGAAGGTTTCAATTTCTTTCTGCTAAGTCCTGCGAAGATGGGACATTTTTTCTTGAATTCGCTCTTTTTTCGCCGATCAAAACACAAATATCATCTCTTGAGGGTATGATGAAAGTTTAAATTCAATGGTTTATAGTTATTAATGCTTTTTTGTCTCATTATTTTAGGTAAAATTGGTTTCTCTTGGTGGCTTCCGGTCGCAACCGCGCGTGGCGAACTTGAAATATACAGGCCAGCAAATGTCATGGAATAGCATGCCGTAGGACCTCAACCGGCGTATAAAACCTTTTAAGACATTTTGATAATTCTTTTAGGATCCATTGTAGTGAAGAAGTGGGTGTTTTTGTATATGTATTTTGCCATTTCTTAATAAAGCTTTTTTCCGTTTATGTTTGGCAGTGATGCTTAGCTGGTGTTGTGTTACGAAAAATATAGATATGTCTTTGTTATTTTTATTGCTTGTTGGAGCTATTTCCCTCCTTTCAATTTTTTCTCCGATAGACGTCACTTTGCACTTTAACGGTCTTGGTATTTTCGACTACATAAGCCGAGCTTGTTGAAGTAAAAGCATGTTCGGTCACCGTACGGTTGATGTACTCTGATGTACTGCATCGATGAATTATTGAACTGACAATATGAACACCGCGATCACCAACAAGCAACGAAGAGAACTCTCACACCTAGAATATGTATTTACTTCAAGACAAGTACGTGGAAATCGCTTGTTAATCCATGGAGAGCTTTATCGACGCACGTTAAAACAGGACGTACCGAATCAAAGACCCTCCTCGCTAGCTTCTAAGAACATTTGTGTGGACTCCGTTGCTATCGTAAGGCTAGTTAACTCATAATCGGCGGCCGAAACACTCTCTTTGCCTTAACAAGAGATATATTTGGAATAGTAAAACGAAAATCGTAAATAGATCGACACAGCAAAGGTACAGAAAGTCTTATCAGCAAAACAAGTCGCTTTCCGCTGCCGTTCAACTGTCACGTCCCTGTTGAACTGATAGTATCACGTGCGTTCGGAAGCTTGATAATATAGTATGAAGCGATGCATCATGGGATATATGAAATTCCCCCCTTTAGCCTGGATAAAGTGCTTGTTCATCCTTAGCCTGTTCCAGGCTCCGAGATAGTGGTCGAAAGTCGTTCAGTAATAAGAAAGGCGCGTCTTATTTTCGCTTTGCTCGTTTTAATACGTTTCCACTATACTATCTGAGAGCCTGGCACAGGCTAGTTCATCCTTTACATCCGATTACAAGTGATTAAGATTAAGTCATCAGAAATATCAGTGAAAAATAAACCGCATGTAAAATTTTCGTTTATGTCATTAACAAATATGTTATCTATAAGTGTTGCACTTATATTCGTTATTCTTGTAGGCCTTGAAATTACATTCGATATAAGCTGATATAGTTTCCTCGTTCTTTGTATCATTCCACAGCCAGATGTCAAGGAACAACTTGGAAAGGGGGCAGGAATCGGGTAGGTTTCCAAAGTGGTTGGCAATATGTGGAAGAAATTGCCGACAGACAGACGAAAGGTTAGTTATAAACTTCTAACATTGCGAGTGTTTGTGTATTAACCCTGCCCCATTTCAGTGGACTGCTATGTGGTTTACATGGCTAACTTTGTAAGGACCGAGAGTGTAAATGTTCTCGTCAAACTTTCCAATTAAAAGTATTTTAGGTTATGAATGTTGATCTTGAATCAAGTTGGGACCTCAAGCTGAATGTCAATTTTGTAATATAATGTTCAGACTTGTTATTTTTCCAGAAAGAACTCTAAAATATACCTAGGGGATAGCATGGCCCATTATAATGTACCAATTAATTTACCCTAAATTTTAATTAGAAATAACCTACATGTGGCGGATGCAGGTTTTGAGGAAAGGGGGGAAGGGGGGGGGGCAAGGGGTATTATCCTCAAAAAATTATGATAGAGGGTGAAAAAAAACTGTCTTTGCAATCTAGTTTATATAAAAATAGGGGGGATCATAAATACACGATTGTTCCCTAATATATTTACCCCCTTTTAAAATATCATGCTATGATCTTCATAGGACTGGAAAGATAAAGCACAGAGCTTGAGGGAAGACCTCGATATGGGAATAGCAGAGATAAAAAAATGTCCAACCTGCAGCACCCAGTTCACAAGGGAGAAGGACTTTAAATACCACCAGAAAGGTTGTCATGAGTGCATTTGCGAGGAATGCAATGAATCGTTTGACCATGAGCAAAAGCTAAAAAGGCATAAAGACAAGAAACATAAAGACAGCTACAAGTGTGATCATTGTCAAAAGACTTTTGCTGAGAAACGAAATCTTATAAGACACCAAAAGTCACATGTTTAGTTAACCTATCCTGCATTTAGTGATTTTAATTGGAGATGATTTGAAAGGACTATTGGATCAATCTATAATACATAACTGTTTTTGTTTTTAAATTATTATTATTATTATCGATTTTTGAAATTAATTGTGGTCATTGCAGCACATGTACATCATGTTACTGTTCAAACCAAATTTTAAATCATTACAAATGTTGTGTTAGACTTTAACAGGAAAAATGAATTAAAACTTATTTACAATGTCAAAACCTCAATCTTTTTAATAACCTTGTTGTTCAGGGGCAGATGCAAGGAGAGAGGTTTTTAATCTAGGCAATTTGCCTTAAGTGAATTTCCCTCTATGTTAAACATTATGCGAACATTCCATTGTTTATTCACTAAGATTTCTCTGTTTTCCTATTTTTTCCTTTGCATGTGCTTTGTCTTGGATTTCATAGTATGGGACCCAGACTTCTTACTACTTTTAGTGTTTGTTTGTGCTGCTTTAGCCAAGTCATGGCTGCGCTTCCTCTTGGAGGTGGGTTCTTGAAGTTGTACTGGTCGCCCTTTTGATACAACCTGACGTCTTCCATTACCACACTTTCGTTTTCTGTTGGGCTGGACTCGGATCTTTTTTCCATTTCCGGGTTTTTTTCACCTCACTGGACCCAAAAGTAAAAAGAGCGCTTGCCAAATTAGAATGCATAGATCTAGCAGTGGTTAAGGATGTTACCCTTTTTGCGAACCTGATTACACCTTTAGCCAAATTAAGGTCTCTTGAGCTTTGGAGCTTTTGAATTATTTGTTCACAAGAGTTTCTCAACAATTGTTCAGCATTTGCAATGGAATCATCCTCATCATCATCATTGCTCTGTATTGGTTCAGCAGTGCAGCAGTTTGGCCCTTGTTGTGCTGTTTCCATACTAGTGGATGCCTCTGTTACAAAACCATTAGAACCATCAGTTTGTGATGTTTGTCCAGCATCACTAGAGCGTAATGGCTTATAACAAGCAACAGGAAGTGTCTTTCCTATTGCTAGCCAGGCCAATTTCTGCCTCTCATTTGGATTACTGACTGGAATGAAGTTTATGCAGTCTGCTAGATTTGCCACCCACAGGACATACTGGTGTTTGCATGGGCTCCCGTCTTTACCAACCGTGCAGCTACATATCCCAAGAGTCATGTCCACTGTATAACTGACAAAGAACCAATGAGACACTTCATAAATATCTCAATACAACTGGAATTTTTGTTTTTCAATCTGTAATAGATACATTCTAGACCTTCAACTGGTTGATCCACTAAGATATTAATGGGAATATTCCTAACAGCAGAGTAAGGGCTTGCTCTTACTCTGCTATAAAAAACTCAATAACCCTGCCAAGAAGGGAAATTACTAAAGGTACCCCACCCCCTGGACAATATATTAGTCATGTTTTGGTCTTCCTTATGCTAAATCAACATCCTTGAAATGCAGCATATGGATGAACTGCAGGAATTATCTCATATGTTATGCATGTTATGTCCCCATGTTTTATGTATTTTTGCTCCAAAGGGGAGGAGCCTAGAAACACTGCCCCCTCCCCCCCCCTGCTTCCCCTATCAAGATAATTTGAATCAGACAATGGGGGAAAGATAGGAAAATAATGGCCACCCACACATGCCCTCTTGTACCACCAGAGCGTTATGCTATTGCGACGGCGAAGAAAAAACACTACTGACCTGTGACTGCTATCTGAAGAGCTTCCAACTTTGAATACATTATTGCCAAAGTTCTCTACAGTTGAGATGTAGGCATCAAGATCTTTTTTATCTGGGACTTTAAACCCTGTGCTTCCGTCTTTCCCTTTCCCAAAGAATCGATGTCTGTACACGCCATCAAAACTCCCATCAGCAATACTAAGGAGCTTATTCTTGTAGTGATCTTCTAGATTAATAGTCAGCTTGTCTAGAAGCCCAACAACATTGTACTCTTTGGTGCGCTGCAGAATTACATCCTTAAGAACCAAAAACTGAGCCTCGGCAAAATTGTTGGTGTGGTTCCCTCTAACAGGCAGTTCAGCTCTAAAGCATAGAGCAAACGATTCTTTGTCATTGTATAGATTTTGCAAATAGCTGACTAGATTTGGGTATTTCTTGCAACGGCCATCATTCAAAAGTTCACTGAAGCAGTTCTCAAAATCTTGTTTTGTCTCGGCATATAAGGACCTCTTGAAAAGGGTGAGAAAATAGGGTCTATCTGCTTGGCTGATACTGTTCTTGCTCTCGTGAAGCCATCTCCAAAGTTGTTGGAGCATGTGGAAGATGCAAAGAAGTAAAACAGATGTTGGCCAAACAGACTTCAGAGCATTTCTTTCCTCTTTACAGTTGTCTGTTAGGATGACTTGGGGGCCTTGTTCCCGACCACGACCATTGAATGCATACTCTGGTAAACAGGACCGAAGCATTTCAAAGCCCTGTTTAAGTGTACGCTCCTGCTCATCACTGGTGATCAAGATGCCAAGTGGAAGTGCTCCAGATACATTGTTTGTGCACATTAAAAACACTTTAAGATTGTGCTCTTCTGTATTAGAAGTAGCATCAACAAAAACCATCTCACCAGACTGCTGCACTTCCTTGTGTACACGGTTCATGAGAGGCGTTACAATAGCAATTATAAGAGGCGTATCATCACCTTCATACATCTGGTAACAAGTGGTAGCTTCAGGGTTGTCTTTCTTGTATTGTTGAAGCCTTTCGGAAAGTCTTTCAAACATAATAACGCCCTGTCCACCATACCTATCCTTACTAAATTGCGTGTAGAGGTAACTAAAGTCCCTTTTTCTCGGCATAACTGCCCGATTGGCCTTTTTCCTGTGAAATTCCAATTCATCCTGACATGATTCTTTGAGTTCTTTCAAGTACTGTTGCCTTGCGGTTGCTGGTGTATGCCCACTTTCAAACAACTTCAAAACCCTTTCTGTGCACTCAGGAGAAAGGTCACGGAAATTAGAGGCCTCCAGAGTTTCAAGTGAATGGTTGTGTTCCCACTCTATGTCCACAGAACAACATCCCTCGCTGTCTATTTTGACTATCATCTGAAAGGGGCAATTGGTGTTCTTTACTCTGGCAGATGGGTTCAAGTACAATTTCTGCTGTGGATCTTTACTTGGACTCCAGTTGCGAGTGTTGTGTTGGCATCTATAGTAGTTTTGCAACACATAGCCGCTTGTTGGTGCCTTCTTTGTCTTTAACTTCACTGAGATGCTGTTTATCACTTCATATTCGGATATCCACTGCTCCAGGTTTTCTTTCGTTATATCTTCGGTCAAAAAGTGCATTTTGAACTTTTCTCCATTTCCTGAAATTGCCTTCAGGTAGTAAAATGAATCATCTGGAAGCGAAGCCAGAAAACTCTCCTTTGTAATTTCGGTCGATTCAAAAGATTTACTTTTCGATTCGACTTCTTTTATAGCTGAAGATATTAGATCTTTGAGAAAATTGTCGGGTTTGTCCGCCATTTTGATTTGATAAAAATCGCAATGGTTTGTAGGAAAGCTAGTCACGCATTGCTCTGATTGTCACGCATGTCGTCGGAGAGAGTCGGAAATATCGGTTCCTTCTTGGCATCGACCTTTACGATGGCATCGACCGTCATGAGAAATGGCATCGACCGTTTCAAATGGCAACGACCGTTCTGAGAAATGGCATCGACCGTTTTAAATGGCAACGACCGTTCTGAGAAATGGCATCGACCGTTTCAAATGGCAACGACCGTTCTGAGAAATGGCATCGACCGTTTCAAATGGCAACGACCGTTCTGAGAAATGGCATCGACCGTTTCAAATGGCAACGACCGTTTACGAAAGGGAAATTTGCATCGGCGATACCGATTAATTAATTGATTGTATTAAGAGTTAAATATTTTCTTTACATGTAGTTAGTGAGTACCATGGCTTATTTCATTTTAGGATTTTATTTGTTTCTCGGAGATACTAGCCTATTTTTGGCCACTCATTAATTCGATATGAAATAAAGTTTTATGTATATGTATGTATGTAGGATCATCCATTTAAAGTCTCTAGTCAGTGCAATCAATGAGGAAAGGATCGGCAATGGGCAGTGGGCTGTCTGTTTTAGTAAACTTGTCGTTATCTTGAAGTACAATATTTCTATCTAGTGTAAGTAGCCCAGTGAATTCGCCTTTTATCAAGTCTAGTTAATCATGTATTCCGATGGGTACTCACCTATAAAAGAGACGGGTTTGCTTGTCGAAAAATTTCGAGAACACCCCTAAAAGGTACCAGAATCTTGTTTTATGGGCGTGTCCCAAATTCATTTCCACCCTAAGAGGTTCCAACTCAACAACAACAAATTATATAAGTGGCACTGCAATTTTAATAGTGATAAAGATAAGTTTCGAACACTTTCTTCTCAAGGACGTTTTGAAAGTATTGTCATAAATCTTTATCCTAATAAAGCGTATCAACTTTGGCAGCAGTCATTTTAGGTTTTAACACCCTAAGTGGTACCAATCCACAAATTCAAACCCCTAATAGGTACGACGAGCACCCCCGTCACTTTTATAGGGGGTACCCCCCCCGGCGTGTATTATAGAATCGATTTTTTTGGATTGTGTGTCAGGCATGCCAAATTGTCCTCGGCGTGAGATCGATGTTTTTAGTTCGCAGCCGTGAAACTCAGGCGTCATGAGTGAGAGTTGGCAGGTTTATAAATTACGCTATTTCCCTTGTGTTGACTTTTTACGTTTGCAGTGCAGCTGATTCGATTCCGGAACATCAATAGCTTGCGCCAATGGGATCAAAGGAGACCGACGCCCTTTTGTGGTCCTTTTTTTTTTTTTTTTTTGGCTCAAATACACGGTCAGACAGAAATTTTCATCCTGCTATTAAAGTATTACTCACCAATGGATGATATGCTCAGGATCAGGAGGCACGCAAAAACAAAATGTGAAGCGGCTACCATAGTCAACGTTTGATGCTCGCTTTAAGACAGGATCGATATGTGACCGACTGTGAAGAGATTAGGGTTAGGATTAGGATTGCATGCCAAATTATTTATACGCTAAAGATGTAATAAATGACAGCACTTACAGTATGATGCCCAGTATCCGGCCACTCAAAACTGAACCTCAATTTTTGTGGCCCTCTTATTAATATCTTTTTAAACGACGTATTCCCATTAAAAGCTATACATTTCAGAAAGTTTTGGTGGGTTTACAGCTTGAGGAACAATTGCAGAAGGGGCCGTTATGTTCAGATAAGTTAAATTATCTCGGCCAATATTTACCCTGTTTACTACGCAGTAAAACTGGTGCTGTTCAATAAGGGTTTGCAATATGTAGTATTTTCAAGGAACCTAGGAAATACTTGAAGTGAAGATTGTAATTTACACAGAAAAAATGCCAGAACAAGAAAAAATGGAAATCACTTAACACGTTGCGCGACATAAAACGAACTCAACGAGAAGTGAAGGAAGTATAACATGAACAGACTTAGTGAGCCACAGATCAATGTTCCAAGCACAGAGATCACAACTTGGTACAGAAGAATCGACGGGGTCGAGACAATAGGTCTCTAAGTTGTGAAATCGGTACAAAGTCGTACAAAGTCGGTTTCTTCAAACTGAAAACGATAAAATCGAACGAAAACTTATTTAGCTAAGAATTCTTAGAGTACAAATATATCATTATACCAAATAGTGAAAGAGAACTAAAGTCCACTCAAAATACACTACATTAGACTATAAAAGCGATTATAAAGTAATACGACGATGAAACTGCTGGTATCAGTCACTCAGCATACTCGTGTTGAAGAGTAGCGCATAAGAATTATAAAACCACTGTAGCTCAGTGATGACAAGACTAAATAGATTCCTCGCATAAATGGAAAAGATAGCAACAAAGATATTGCAAATTGTTTACCAAAACTAAGCGCAATAGGATTCCTAGAATGAAATCGATACTAAAAGAAAGAAAAACTCTCCTCACTTTGGTTTACACACGCACCAATATTATCTTGACTCAAAAAGCTAACTGAGCTTGATAGAAGATGAGCACGAGTGTAGATAGAAATAAAACCCCAATGGCTAACAGAAGTTAAGACCATGAAGTCTACGCTAGAACTGAACTAACTAAGATGAAAACGCTAAATTTATAATAAACAAAACGTGGTTGGAAACGATCTAGAAATTACTACGTATTTCCCCTGCGAACATAGCAGGAAAGGGCTGGGAAAGTAGCGTGCATGGGCTTATCAATAAAAATCATCGTTTACGTAGGCGATGATTGGTTATATTATAACTGCCGTTAGCACGTTCGTGCTCTAATAGGGGATTAATAAAAAGAAATCTCGTTTCAAAACCAACAAGGAAATTTTTTTAATTATTCTTGAAATTCAACTTTTCTGGAACAAAGGAGACCAGACATCGCGCAGAATGAGTGGACATCAATAGCTATTCATGACCGCCGAAGCAGCAAATGCGAACTCGCGAGCGCTTTCAATAAGCTCTGAATAAGACAGGGACACCCAACGGGAATATAGTTCAAAACCAATTAAGAACAGCAGTGTTAAACGTATTTTAGTATTAAATCGGTAGATATAGGCATATTTTTATCCCCTAGAAATTTTTCATATGTTCGGATTTCCTAGCTAAAAGTCAGTAGTGATCCGAAAATTATAGGGATCAAAACTTACCTTTCGGTAAATTTCAGCAAGTAAAAAGGCTTCCGAAAATTCTAGGTGACCTTTTTAGGGTAAAAATCCCATAAAAATGGGCAATTATACCGTTTTTTAGTTGTTCAAAAATCCTAGGAGAGGCAGGCAAGCAAGAAATTTTAAAACAAATGTTCCGAAAATTTTAGATCGCAAATCGTCTTCTGAACAGATATTTTCCGAAAATAGCGCTGCGCACAGATGACGTCACAGATACGTGACCCCCAACCGAGACTCAGACAAACATTGGCCATTTCTACTAGAGGTCGCAAGAACGCTGTAAGGAAAAGCACAGTTTGCGATCAGCTCTGCTCGCCCTCTTTGGGGTTTCTAGGAGCGTTCCAGTTTTGAAATTCGAGGAACGTCCAGGGAAATATAATGTAGTACAAAAGATTGAAGAAGAGCGTAAAATGAGAGAACTTTTAAAAGCCGTGTCTTGATACTATTTGCAGCCCAGCCGGTAAATGTTTTCAAAGAACTCTTATCAAATTTTTCAAAGAAAATTTGATAATTGTTTAGAAATGTCGATTTCTGAGTTGGAGTACAAAGAGTCGTAGTCGTACCAGATATTCGATAAGTTTAGATTTTAGTGAAAAACAGAGAGACATACGTAGTTTTCATTTTAGATTGCTGGGCCGTTCCGGGCTACAGTATTCTGAAAACCGTGCTCGCGATTCGAGATTCGAATATGCTCAAGCTCAGGGAATTCGTCCACCACAAGACCAAACCTGTTTTAGAATTGCTTGGCGTTTGCGAACAAACATCATATGTTTCAGGGGGGTTTCGATTTTTCTGGATATCCTGAAAACTAACTCTGTGCGTCACGCCGGTCATGTGTTGAAAACAATGAGAATCACAAGATGCCGAGCAATGTTTGAAATCGCTTAAGATTTCTAAAGAAGTATTTTATGTTTTTAGAAGAATTAAATCGGAGAATTCTTGAAAATGGAATAAATTTAAGACTGTCATATATCTACCTCTTTCAAAACATTTCACGGCTGCCTGATCACCGCCACAAAACACTGCGTACTTCGCTTTCTTTCCAGATTTCTCGCATTTATTTAGTGACTCAGACCACTTTTTCAGGGATCCTTGAGTCCGTCCCACATTCTTCCCAGCTGCAACGCTTGTTGCTTACCATATCCCGATAAAAATACGCGAAAAAAAAAAAAAAACAATGTTTTGACTCAACACTCGGTAAAGGCGCATACAAAGCCTTTGAGTGAGAAGCAAAGTTTGTCTGAGTCATGCGGGGGGTCTTATCAGACGTAGACTATTTTTAGAATCTGTGCGCAGGGCTATTGACGTTGGGTGCTCCTGATAAGAGAAGAAGGGGCCTCTTTTGGCGCTCCAGCGTTGATAAAACTCATTCGCGCCACTTCGTTAACACCGAAATGACAAATCCCCTGATGGAATATTGAAAATGACACACAAAAGATAACCATTTTTCGTGGGGGAAGGACGTAGACTAGCCCTCTGCACTTGAAAATTGCTAAAAAGAGGCCATTTTTTGTATGCAAGTAACCTGAGATCAGGCTCTATTTTCGTTTCGCTTTGAAAATAACATTCTGGTGGGCAAGGCGAAACGAAGAAGCTCTTTCAACTTTCGTTGATTTCAACAGCCAATCAGATCCTGAGGCATTGTTCCAAAAGCCAATCAGCGTTAAGGCCCAAATCTGGCCGCAGTGAGCACAAACGTGAGAGAATTTGTATCAGGCCCAATTTTAGCGGTAGCCGTTAGAGAGAATGTATGAGAACCCCTAAAACTGGGCCCGATCTCAGGTTAGTACGAAAGCTGACTTTGAGCGTGATTTTCTGGAAACCACTGACGCAATCGTAAGTAAGCCATTAGCTAGCGCTGGTACAGCAAACTACTCTGCAAACTACTCTCCACTCTGCAGAACACTCGACTAAAGTTATTAACCCATGAATCCAGGCGTATGCGCCCCAAAATATACTTGAATCTAATCATGGCCCCAGTTCCTGAAAGGCTGATTAGCGCTAATCCAGGATTAAAAATTTTGTTTCATTTTTGTATTTTACTTGTTAGAGTAACATTCTGTCACTGAATCTCGAGGTTAAAGCTCAACAGTCTTTTGTAAGCTCGTGTTACATGTTCTTAGACACGAAAACTGTGCTCAAAGTAGTTTGGCTTAATCCTGGGTTAAACTTAACATATTTTAAGGAACTGCGCCATGAACCGTAATTTTGGAACCTTTTCTGTACTACTCAGACAGTATTAAAGAAATCCCAAATGCACCTCTAGAATATCAACATTCATTATCTTAGCTTAGGGCTAAACTTAGTTTAAAGGAATTTAGCCAATTTTATTCTCTCGGGTTTCTCAGCTTATATTTTAGCCGTTGGACTCCCGACTTTTTTCAGAGCATTTTGGCTCGTCAGACGACCACGCGCGAGATCTAGGGCAAAATCTCGTTTGCGTATATCTGTATTATAAACACACAGCCGCAATGAAAAACTACGGGAAATTTCCTTTCTTTTGATATATAACTTGCCTATATTGGAGAGCATTTTGGCTCAGGAAAGGGCATTTCAAAGTAGCTACTTATGGTGTTTATCCATATTGTTGTGTGTGTGCTTGGCAAAAGAGGAGGGAGGCGAGGAAAGCTCTTCTGTAACAGAGAATAAACAAGTAAGCTTAAGTTGAGACTGGAATATGAAGATATTGTCACGAGGGATTAATTATTTTAAAATTTAGTAAGATCTTATGTTAAGGTTGAGGCAGGAAGACTGAGCACCTCATTATTAAGGTACTCATCAAGTATTCTAATTCTAAAATAGCGAAGAAAGCTACGCTGATTCAAGAAACTATAATAGACAATTTCGATTAAGGTCAAATCTCTGACTGAGAAATTTTAATCAACACTGCACTGACCTAGCTTCCTGTCTGTGAAATATCCTGTCTTTCCCCGGGTTTAGTATCTACGCGATTTTACGAGTAGTACGTTATTAGAATTCAGCCATCCTATTAACACCATTAACACATTTCCACTACTGTTGATAGAGTTTTGATTATAGGGCTGATTATAAAAGTCAAGTTCTAATAGTTGTGTTGAAAAACCATGAAGTACTGATGTAAAGTTTTGAGGTTTATTCTGTGTATGTATGAAGCATTAAAGATAAAGACGGTATATTGATTATCAGACAGGGTTATAATATTAAACAGACAGGAACTGAATTTAATAATCCGGTTGCTCTTTCTTTGTTTTTGGGTTGGGAGAAGATTGGACAGAACAGTGAATAACAAACAGGGTTCCTGTTTATTTTTTCCTTACCTTTT